AAGACTTGGGGAAACTTGAAGAATGACTGGATATTTGATTATATTCACACATTGTTGAGTTTTCATTTTGTGTCAGTGTGTAATTACAGTCTGTCATTATGTTAAAGTAAAGTCCATATCTTTTGAGATACGTACGGGAATGTTCACAGATAAAATGTGTTAAATAAAATTTATGGGGCAGGGCTCTGTAACCCTGGCACTTTGGGAGGCCGAAGGTGGGAGGATCACTTGAGCTCAGGAGTTCGAGACAAATCTGGACAACATAGTGAGACCCCATCTCTAAAAAAAATTTTTAAATTAGCTGGGCATGACGGTGTGTGCCTGTAGACCCAGCTACTCAGGAAGCTGAGCCAGGAGGATCCCTTGAGCCCAGGAGTTTGAGGTTGCAGTGAGGTATAATTGTGCCACTGCACTCTAGCCAGGTGACAGAAAGAGACCCTGTCTAAAAAAAAAAAAAAAAAAAAAGAAATGATGGGAGGCCAAATTGTTTTGACTCAGCTCCTGTGCTAGGGCCCAGATCAAACCAAAATACGGTTACTCATGCTAAGTGCCACACAGTCAAATTGAAGCTTTCAGGAAGCAGATTAATTTTCCAAACACATCGAGTTTCCTTAAAACAGGTGTTTCACATCAACCAATCAGCAAATACCCAGTCCAGATGGTCAAAGTGGCTCCTAGCTGTAATCCCAGCACATTGCAAGGCCAAAGAGGGAGAATCATGTGAAGCCAGCAGTTTGAGACAAGCCTGGACAACATAGCAAGACCATATCTCTCCAAAAAATTTGTTTAAAAATTAGCCAGACACGGTGGCTTGTGCCTATAGTCCCAGCTACTTGGGAGGCTGGCTGGAGCCCAGGAGTTCAAGGTTGCTGTGAGCTAGGCTGACGCCACGGCACTCTAGCCCAGGCAACAGAGCCAGACTCCGTTTCAAAAAAAAAAAGAGAAGTGAATTTTACTATATGCAAATGATACCTTAAAGCAAATAGAAAAAGACCCAAACAAACAATGGAACAAGCTATATCAGGAAAATAAGAAGCAAACGAAAGACAGTAGGCAAATCCAGATAATGGACAAAATATAATCAAGGGATTTTGATTAAATTAAATTTCCTTTAGGGACAGCATATTACATACAGGTAACAAAGAACAATGTATCAAAAATATATAATGGTCATGAACCTATACATATCTAACAATCTGCTTCAAAATATTAAAGCTATGAATGATAGAACAATGAGGAAAAAAGGATAACCCAACAATTTAATTGGAGACCTTTCATATACCCCCTCAAACAGATCAGACAGACAAAATGAGCAATGATAAAGAAGATTTTAGTAACACCATAATACCTGTGAAGGAATAGATGTATAGAAGATATTCCACCCAACAAGTAGAGAACGTGTGTATTTTGGGGACAGCACATATGAAACATTCACAAGAACCAACCACGTACTTGCCACAAAAGAAGGTGGTTTGCAAAAAACCAACATTATACAGATTATGTTCTCTAACCTCAATGCATAAAATAAACGATAACAAAAGGATGACAAAAGAAAATTCTCACATGTCTGCACTGTAAACACATATTACAAAATAATTCTTGGGTTTACAAGGTAAACATCAGGGAATTACCAAATGCTTAGAACACAGGAGGGTAACACTGAGTGTCAAAGAATAAAAGCAAGAGATGAAGGAAATTTGTAGCTTTAGATAAGTGACATAAAACAAGAAAGATTTTTTTTTGTTTTATTTTATTATTTAGAGTATTTAACTCAAGAAGCTGATAAAAGGTCAATAGAGAAAATTCCAAAATACAGGAAGGGAAAAAAAGAAATAAGAAAGAACAGAAATCAATTAAACAAAAGACAAAAACCCAACAACATAGACTGATAAAACAAAAAGCTATTTTAAAAATATTAATGTAATAAGCCTTTGGCAAGACTCACCAAGCATCTTCTAAAAAAGAGATGCAGCTGATTTTGTGAAACAACAGACCAGAGCCCTGGACACTCCGCCCTGGCTCCGGCTGCCTGCTGGC